GAGGGCTATTTATCACTATGTTAGAATTAAGAATTTCAAAGTGCAGGTGCAGAACTGTGCCTACGAGTGCGTGGAGGCGGGGGACCTTGAAACAATATTTATTATCTATAAATCTGGCAGCCCCTGAGCCCTTGCTCTGCGTGGTGAGCAGACAGGGGAGCTGGCAAGATTGGCATTGCCTCAGACAAGGCGAGGGGCAAGTTCCTTCCCCAGCGGCAGTGGAATGGCGAGGGATGTGCTGGGCGAAGGGAGGGAAAGGCTCTGCCCTCCCCTTTACCCCCCCCCCGGGCCCCGGGGACAGAGCCACGGAGGGAAAATTACACGCGAGTTACACTCGGTGACCTCTGTCTTTTACCTTTTTAAGAGCCCTCCGAGACTCGAGAAGGAGGGACCCAGAAACTTTCAGCGAAAAAGGGCAGGAATTTCCCTATGTGGTTTTTCCACGCCAGTTCTGGTAGCGGGCTGTTCCAGAAAAATTACTCTCTTTAAATATGTATATAGTTTACAGAGCTGCAATTATTTTGGTATTTCTGTTGCCACTTCCCAAAGCAGCGGGATGCGAATCGCAAGGCTGGTTCATTACTGTGCTCTCGCTCCAGTGATGTCCCAACGTGGAGCTGATGATGCAACGACTATTTCCAGTGCTGAGAATTCTGATGTCAGACGAGGGATGTTGAACAGACCGGCCAGAAGACTTGGAACTGAAGAGGGAGAGCTCCCTGTACAGAAAATAAAACCAAACGTGGTATCCTGCTTAGGTCTGGCCGTCCTGCCCAAGAGAGAATAAAATCATTTAATATGTTTCACATGTGATGAGACAGCAGGCTAAAATTCAGAAAGAAACTCAGTGACCAGCGAAGAGGGCCCTGAAATAAATATGACAGAGGTTAGACCAGACAGAACTACTTCACCTTTTTCATCATACAGATGCATTAAAAGCTGCCATGTGAAAAATTACCGAAAGACTAGTTAGCAGTTGCACATTAAGGTTCTGCCATACGACGTTGCTGCTTATCACCGTTTAAAGTCACATACCCAGCCAGGGCAGGGGATCCGGTGGCAGATGAGAAGAAGTAATCTTTACAGCTCCAGGCTGGTGTGATTGAGGCCAGCAGCAGAGCAGGGCTGATTTTTGCACTCATTTCCACTGAAATCTGAACAGAGACCGTGCAGGTCCCCTCCTTCCATGCTTTAGGGCTGGTGTGAGCCGCAGGGATGAAAACCACTTGCCAGGGACTTTCTAGAGGCGTCATCATCTCACCCACGGCAAGACTGTCATACCACGGCTCTGCTTTTTGTCGGGGGTTAGAGAGCATACGCGCATCTGAGTTTGCCGAGTGGAGGGGTGCAGGGAGAGGTGGAGATGAGACAGAGCTGAAGACACAAAATGCGTTAAAGCTCACGTGGATACATGAAAGGCAGGAGGGCAGGGAAAGGCCACGCTGGGCTCCTCACTGCCACTCGCACCAAGAGCGAGGTCACCAGCACATCCCAGTGCGAAGCCTGGCCATGTCTCCCAGGCTGCCCACACCCCCGCAGCCCCAAGGGTCGGGGTGAGCACCAAGCCGCGCCAGCCTCAAGCTCTCAGCGCCGCTTTTCCACAGTCGGTCCCGAGCCACAAGCCAGACTTCACCTGGTGGCAGGGATCGTTTCCCCGGCACAGGCCAGGTCCATCCCGTCTCCCCAGTTACAAGCAAATGCCATCGCCCGCTGGGAAGGGTGGTGACCTGCTCCCACTTTGTGGGGTGCCACGGAAGGCGGGAGGGCCTCGGGGAATCCCCCGGGACCAGCGAGCGGACTGCGTGACCTGGGCCATGGGCTCCGGCAGCGAAGGGAGAGCTGACTCCGCATCCACTCACTCTGCTTAGCACACATGGGGCTTCTCACTGACCTACGAGACAAAATTCCTCCCCCCCCGGCACCCGTGGCAGTACTGTGGCACCCAGACCTTCCCGCTACTGTCCACTTTGGACGCTCCCGAGAGGGTTTTGTTCTTTCTCTGCAGACACGTTTGCCCCCTCAGCACTCAAAGTGTTTCAGAGGGGTAACTCAAGTGACTTGGTCCTCCCGAGGTTCCGCGCCCACTGCTCTGAGCAGCGCTCCTCCCAAAACCCACGCCGCTTCACCCGCCGTGGCCGCGAGCCTAATAGAGCCATCAGGCCACCCGTGGGGCTGCGTCGCTGCGAGGGTGGTGGTCCCCGGGGCGGCGGGTCACGGCCACTCACGAAACTCGGTCTCGCAGCACCGGCTGAGCAAAGGAAGCGGTACCGGCCATCCCGCCGCTTCCCGGGGACAAAACCAAACCCGCTCTTCGCGCCGCACTCGGGGAAGTTTCCCTTCCCCGCCGCCTGCCCACATCCACACACCTCCTCCCGGCACCGGCCAGGACGCTTCTCCCGTGGGCACGCACCGCCCCTCCTGCCCACGCCACGGGATATTCCTCCGTGCCAGCACTCCCCTCACGACGGCGGCTCTCCCCTCAGAACCGCGGGCAGGTGCAGAGGATGCCCCGC